TGTGACTCTAAGAAACGAGTCAAATTTTCTCATAAACTGGCTCTGAGGACAAATCCAAAAGTGTTTAGAGCAATGGCCGCACTGTTGGAGCAAGTGTGGGGTCTCCCATGAGGACAATGTTAAAGGATAACATTCGTTTGGATTGTAGACTTTGTGGTATGTTTGTTTATATAAAGTCAGCCTCATTAGTTTACAGTCACACCTCTTAGACGTGCCCTGAACCAGTCCCAGCACCAACAGGAACCCTCCATTACTGTAGAAACTAGTGGTGCGCCCTGACAAGTCTGCCAAAATTGTAACAGTGGTGTCTGCACCATACTTGGATGACAGCTACTTTGCAGTCACATTTCATGGTAACTGAATATAACTAATTCTAGGTGACATTTCCTACTTCCACAGGCAGTAGCAGAGAAAGAATGAGAGAGAGGAGTTCACAAAGATGCAGAGAGTGGAGAAGATCTGCAGGAAGAGAGAACACAACTATAAGGAAGGGCAGAAAGACTAAATATCAGGAGCATTCCACCATTCTTAGCAATCCATGTTATTAAACTGCGTAAAAATAAAAACAATCAGGGTATATCTATAAGAAAGCTTAAAATTTCAGTTGAAAATTTCTGAGCACCTACTATGTGTCTGGTACTGGGGTCAAAAGATGAGACAAAATCCATGTGAGTGACCAGATTTGCATGTGGTAGGTATCCAAAAAGAACTAGTTTCTTTATGATTACTGTTTTTAGAGCCTAAATGATTCCAAATGAATAGAAGACTCAGAAAGGCAAGGGTCTAGTTGATGATTCAGCAAATTCTTCTTAGAGAATCTGGTGTGATTTGAGGGTTGGGGCAGGATTTGGATTAGTCAGAATGTGACTGGGGACTTTCACATATGGAGACAGATTTTTCTCAGATAGCAGTAGTTCCACTGAGTGTGAGTCATGGTGACTGGACCAATGAGTGGATGAAACATTCAAAGGCAGAGCCCCAAGTGTCCGGTGGTACCTCTGGATTTCAGCTTTCCTAGCTCTGGTTCTCTCAGATTCTGCCCTTGTTCCCTGAGCTCAACATACTAGTCTGAGAGGAAGGAGTTAGGATTCTACTTTAATAATGACTGACGTTTTCTTCTAGAAGGAATGAGTATTACTTTGTGCCACTTGCCTAAAGGAGGAAGGAACAGAGAAAAGTTGCTGAATAAAGATAAAAGATAGTACCCTCATCTAAGAAGCAAGTGGGGGGTTTGGTATATAATTAACCTGGGGCAATGTGGGCATTTGGGACTTTCCCTTTGAATAAAGAAATGCAGTTGAGTTTCAACCATGTTTATAAAGAACACCTCCATATAGCTCTCTAGGGTTGAGCGGTTAGGGACTGGAAGGCAGGCTTAACCAATGGCTTAGGAGTTAAGTCCCTAAACTCATTTATGTCTGTGATTCCTGTTATAAAATGGGGAGAATTAAAGAGGATTTTTCTGAGTTGTGTTGAGATCTTTAGTTTGTGTAGTGGAAAGAGTATTGGGTTAGTTTTCAGAAGAGAACACACAGGGGAAGGGAAGACAGAAAATTAATCTTATTAGGAACCCTGCACTCTCCTTTGAAATACTGACAGGCATTAGAAGAGGAACAGACAGAAAGTCAGGAAAGAAGGAATTAAGCTTCTACAGTATGATATTCTGCTAGTACTTTTCTACAAATACGAAAGCATTTAATGCAGAAGGTCTGGGTTCAAGTGATGGCTTCACCACTTACTAGCTTTTAGCATTAACTTTTCTTATTCCAGTTGCTTCATTGATCAAAATGAGGAGACAAACGCCCATCTCATAAAGCCAATTGTGAGGATCAAATGAGATGATACAAGCAAAAGTATTTTTAAAATGTAAACACTCTAAGAATTTAAGACGTCATGGTTATTTTTCTTCTCTTATATCCTGCCTCTACAGCTTCTCAGGAGCAGTTCGTAGCAGGTGTTTGCTTATCTGATTCTGGCTAGCAGACTGCAGCTTTTCTCATGAGATGGCTCATACTCTTGCACAGAGGTAGTTCTGTTTCTTTTGCATTTGGTATCTAAAGTGAAATAAAAATCCCTGAAAACAGATTGTATTCTTCTACCCTGCCTTCCTCCAATAGGAACAGAACATTAGTGTGTGAAACAGAACATACACCATAGGATCTTAGCGAATAGTACAAAGAGAAAGATGTGGGGGCCATTAGTAGCTGTAGCCCTCCATATTGGTTATTTGGAGAGGCAATACATTTTCACAGAAAGCTTCCAGGCTCTGGTGTCCCACAGATTTGGGCTTGAGTCCTTGACGTCCCTGTTCATTTGCTAGATGTGTGACCTTTGGTCAGTCACTTAACTTCTAAGTATTAAAAATTTCTCTTCTTCTAAATGGAGTTAATATCCTGAAGGGCTAATGTGAAAAGCAGAGATAATGTATGTGGAGACTCCATAGCTACTCAATCAGTATTCCTTTGTCATTTTTACAGATATGGGTATCTATACATGATATTATCTCTCTGACTTCTTGGGTAGTCAAGGTGACTTAGGTGTCATATGCACCACAGGCTAAAACCTGGGTTTATCTCTCACCTTCCTTTACAACTTTGTGATCATAATTGTGGTTATCATCCCAGAGGGAATAATAAAAGCCAGGGATCTTTTGAATGAATTTGATTTTGCTTTACTAGATATTTAGTACTTGGGTTCTTTAATGGAGATTTAATTATGCACAAGGGGGCTTAGGGAGATTGGGAATCTTACTGGTTTCAGGAAGAATGCAGAGATCTTTGTAATATCTTAGGTAAGTAGAACTAATGTTTCATCCAGCCCAGGGCAGGCAGTATCTGGATGAATGGTCTCCTTGTTTCTATAGAATGGAGCTCAGTCTGCATTCTCTGTGTTCAGACCCTCTGATTCTGTCTCCACTACTCTCACTGGATCTTTGGGGTAGACATTAATACAACAAAAATTGGAAGGTAGCGAATAAGCCTTTTTGATTTCTTCCATCCTTATTTGCCCATCTGTCTAAATCCTTCAGTTCCACTAGAACACATGTATCACTTTGATGGTGGAGCTCCTCTTGAAGAGCCCTAGTCCTGCTGAGCCCAAACCCTCACTCTCTTTGACATCGATGTGGTGAGCTTAGCATTTTTAAAATAAAGAGTTTTCTGATGCAGGGATCTGCCTCTGTACCTAGTCTTTGGGTGGTGGGGGTTTGTGAAATTTAGGAGCAGAGATGTGGCCTCTAATTATGTATTTGCTTGCTTCTCTTTCAGCCTTCTGGGTCTCACCACTTGGAAGTACGTGAATCAGTATTAGTGAAGCTAACAGTTTGATGGGTTTACTTTTTTCTTTTAGGAAACATAAAAACTGTGGCTCAGAGCCATTGTGGTCATTGGGCCAGAGAGTTTGAACCAAGGGGAATGTGAGTGCCTTCCTCAGAAGGCTGCTGTGAGGATGAAAGGAGTGAATACATGTAAAGTGCTCAGAATAGTGCCGGGCACAGGGGAAGGGCTGCGTGATTTTATCCCATCAGCTGCTGGGCGGGGTCTGCCCTGGTTCCAGAGCAGCTCCCTTTGGCAAGTACTATCAGCTCTACTTCAAAAGTCATCCAGAAAGAAGCCATTCACAAAAGACCACGTTATATGAAATATCCAGAGTAGGCAGATCACTAGAAACAGAAGGTAGATTAGTGGCTGTGTAGGGCTGGGAGGAGTGGGAAGGCTGGGAGTGATAGCTAAAGGGCATGGATTTCTTTTGGGGTTGTGAAAATGGTCTAAAATTGATGGTGGTGATGGTTGTACAACTCTGTGCATATACTAAAAAACACTGAATTATACACATTAAGTGGGTGAATTGTATGGCATGTGAATTATATGTCAATGAAACTGTTAAAAGATATATTCAGAATTCACCTCTGCTCACCATCAATGTCACCACTATGCTGGTCTAAGCAACCTGCATGTATGTGACTCCTTGACCACTACACTAGCCTCTTAACTGGTCTTCCCACCTTTACAGTTGCCCTGCCATTGTCTTTTCTCTACAGAACTCTGTAGTGGTCTTTAAAAATATAAAGCAGAACATGTCATTCATCTGCTTAAACTGCTCCACTGTCTCCCCATCACAATTACAATCAAAGTGAAACATCTTATCATGGCCTCCAAGATCCTGGTCCCAGAGAGTTCTTCCTCAGAGCTCACTCTCCCCTTTGTTGATTTTGCTTTAGCCATGCTGGCCTTCTTGTTCAGATATGGCAACCTCATTCCTGCCTGCCTCAGCAGCCTTCCTATTTGCCATTCACTCTGCCTAGAATTTGGCATCTTCCCATGGCTCATTCCTAGGACAAAAGTCAAATGTTATCGCATCAGAGAGGCCTTTTCTGCACAACCCTATTTAGAAGAGACCCCTCTCCATCAGTCTCTAGCCATTCATTCACTCTATTTTCTTCATAGGGTTTATCACAACTTGAGTTTATATTTTAACTTGTCTGTTTACTTGCTCACTGGAAGTCTCTTCTACTAGTGTGTAAGTTCTACGAGAATGGGGATTTTGTCTTGCTCATCACCACATTCCTAGTACCTTGAATAATGCCCTGTCCTCAGTGTTTGTTGCATGAGTGAATGAATGAATGAATGAGTGAATCCACCATATTGACTGTGGACACAAATATATTAACACACACATACTCATTGTTTTTCTATGTATACTTCCTATTCTATAGCCTCATTTGGAGTCTTGCATGTATTTTAAAACAGGTTAAATTCTTAGGAAGAAATTCCTTCAAGGTTCCTTTTGAATACTTTTAATATTATATTTACAATGTAAGTTTATGCTTAGGCTGATAAACACTATCACTATTTGCACGAAAGTCCATGAAAACACATGAAGGATTTCAGAGTCTATGCTTAGTCAACTGTTTGTGCTCCGATGGTCAGCACTGACTATTTCATTGGCCTAAAGCTGGAGTCTAGCCTCAATAGCACATTTTTACTCTCAGGTTTACTTACAGTGTGGACTTTCTCGGGCCCCTGTCCTCAGAAGAATCCTAGCAATGGGCACATTGTTGGTCATGATGGCAATATCCAGAGGCGTCAACCCTTCACTATTAGGCGTGTTGAGATCTAGTTCTTCTAGAGTGTACTGACACAGAAGGACCTGCACAGCATCCATGTCCTGCTGTTCAACTGCTTCAAACATGGCTTCATTGCCCTGAAAGTTCTGGGGCGGGGGAAGGACAAAAGCAGGTTAGCGCAATGTCACAGACCAGTGTGTCTTTGTGGTTTAGCTGTATTGCATTGCAGAGACTGCTTCAGTGCCTGCATTCCCACTTGTATGTGGAATAACTACACTTTATCCCAACATCTCCAAAGCGAACGCTCTTGGATGCTCCCTCCATCTTTCCTTCGTAATGGGCATTGAGTAGACCTATAGATTTAGATGCCTTGAGACAATACACTATGCCATAGCTAGTCTGTAGATAAGAGCAAGCATTAGCCCTTCTCAAACCAGGATTCTGTTTGGAATACTGTTTAACAGGCTGTTAAAACGTACACTGAAGAAAGTAGCATATGGTCAAATAAAGTTGATGGACACTGGGTTAAATAAACCAAGTTTCCACATTATTTTATTGCAAGACCTTCTAGAGTTCTTATTAATTTTGACATGCAATTATGACTCTCCCATTGATTAGAAATATAATTTGTTCCAAATATGTGTTTACAGAGCATATTTTTCATTGCATTTGTTTTAACTGTGCCTGGAAATGTTCTATAGAACACGGTTTGAGAAATGCTGGCAGAGATAACAGCACAGATAGTTTAATGATGACTAGCTTGGAATTGAGAGTACACCTTCTCTCTGACTAATCCCCTCCCTCTCTTTCTCTGTGTCTCTACTGTTGCTCAGACCATTATTATCCCCTGTCTGGATGATGGCCATGACTTGCCTGTTGTTAGTCTTAGCCTCCTCCATATTGATATAAGAGTAATCTTTCTAAAATTTACAATGTTCCATGTCCTTTCCCTATTTTCAGATCTCTAATACTGCTTGCAGGCTGACTCCCCAAGTTGTAGACTCCTACTAATCTCTATGCTTTCTCAATCCAGAACCCCAACCATTGAACACCTGACATTTCTGAGCTCTCAGGTAAGGAGCTCAAGAGGTGGCGTCTGGGGATGATGTCGGTGGCTGGGTGGCAAATTGTTCTGGGGCTTGAGAGGGCCAATAGTTGGATATTCATAGGATACAAATCACCTATAGAAAAAATAGCTAAAGAAACATGGTTCCTTTGACAGGTTCTTTCAGAGGATTAATAGTAAACAAAGGAGAAAAGCTCTGGAATTCTATCAGATGTATTTCTGTAGCTCACAGAAGAATAACGCACATGCTGTTTACACATCTGTCTGGTATCTTTTCCAAGCATTGTTAGTCTTTAAAATGTTGAAATACCATTGGTTTTGACCTAGCATAGGGGTCACCTGATTAAAATGTGGAAGGTCTTCAGTGACCAAATATTTAGGTTGGCAGATTTTATTTTTAATCTCATCAAAAATCAATTCTCTCTATCAAAGGCTTCAGGTCGACCTAGCTGAGTACATAACACATGATTGAAATTTGAGGAAAATACAAAGCTATTATGCAAAAGCTTGTTTTGACAGTGGGGACCCATGGGATAGAGCTATTTTGGTATGCAGCTCTTTTTGCTGCAGGACAATCTGCTGAATGGAAAAGTGTTCTGTCGACAGTCTGCCAAAGTAAAGAGCCTCTGATGCCTAGGCCATTACTCAGCCATAACCAGGCCTTCCCGGAAGATGAATTTGAAATGAGAAAACAAATTAGAAAACAAATGGGTGCAAAGTTCAAATGCTGCCCTGTCCACAGTTGTGTATTTGTTTGTGATTCTCACTCTGTCTAATTTCTCATCTGCCCTATTTGCTCTCACTCTTAAATCATTTCCTTCTCCATGATTTTGTTGGCAAACTATACTATGCTTCTATCTGGAAAGGCTCATTTGTGTTTTAAGCTCACACAAATGGTGCTATTACTCCCCAAAGAAGTACCATTGCTGAGCATTTTAATAGTATGATCTCAGCTTTTACCAAGGACCAGTGTCAGAAGCTAACATATGAGAATGTCTGTAACATCAGCAGTACTGCTCTTTATCCCCCATTACACGATATCCTGTGGAGGCCAGAGGACTTGGCAACAGGAGAACATTAATTTCTTCTGATAGGCTGGTATACTTTCACTTATTGTCAAGTGGGATGCTATAACAAATTGTGATTCCTTTTCTGTTTTGACTGACTAGGAAGTTGGAGATAAATGATAAATTTTAGGTACTATATTTGCCTAGGTTTTGGGTACATCTGTTTCTTTTTCCATCCCCATTATTTTCTGTTTTTTTCTTTTTCACTCTTCCCTCTCTACCTCCTTACCTTCCTCTTCCTTCCTTCCTTTTCTTTCTTTCTTTCCTTTTTTCATTCTCTTGCTTTCTCCCTCTATTTCTATCTCCACCTCTCTCTATATATATTTATTTCCCATTATTTAATACATATGCATTTTTTTGCCTGGATTCTGTCTTAAATGCCTTTAGAGAGCATACGGGGTGTACACTATAAATAAGTAAATAAAATATTGTTTTTTGTTCATTCAGTGATTGAATGAACACTGGAGCTCTCAGAGAGCCTTTTAATCTCATATTCCGTATTTGTTGAACTGCTATTTTCTAGTTTCTTTGTATATTAGAGAAAGAAAAACTAAGGGAAAAGTGAAAGAAATTAAGGAAAAGAAAGGGAAAATCTCACAGTCATTGAAACTCTGGCTAACAACAGAGATATGTGCACTTCCTGCCTTACCTGTCTCCTAGCATTTATAAGATTGCAAACATCAGGTTCTGAAGTAAACATGGATCATTTTAGAATCCCTTAATTCCAAAGAAACCCTGCACATATCAAACTGAGATAAGAATAAAAGGAGTTTTATTACCACTGAGGTCTTCCTGAGACTCAGCCGGTCAGTCCTTGTTCTAAAATAGGCCTCATCAAATGAAGAGTGGCTCCCCTTCAGTTTCTCAGAGAGGTTCCTGTACAGGCGTTTGGCAGCATTGGGAGACGACGGGGCACTATGTTTTTTTGATTGAGAAAGATGCAAATTCTGCATTTGTTGCGTCATTTTCACGCAGCAGTTCCTAAGAGGAGGAAAATCTGATGTTTCATTTACACAATGTAATTATAAGTTGACAAAGAATTTTATCATCTCCAGTAACCATCTGGAATCCTAATAACATATTATAGCTAAAAGGGACCTTGGAGATCTTTAGATGCAACTTTTTCATGGTAGCAAGAATGAAATGACATCCTCCATCTACTATATTAATGTATAAATTTACATATGGACATGTATATGACATGGGTCTCTACTCAAAGTCTTTTTGGTCTCTACCCCACTGGGAGGAAGGATCTCAGTTCTATAACCCTAGATGTCTGTTCAGTTCCTTTTGGATATATGTAATTGGGATCTTTCTACTTATCTCCTTCTAGATGCTTCACTGTAAGAGTGTGGTTGTTTCCTGCAGATCCCCCTTCTGTCAATGTGTTAAATTGTGCTGTTGCTGGAGATTTAGTGAACTACCCCAGTGTCCAGGGGTTTGGGGGATTTGTATTCTCTAGGCGCATCCCTGCTTACCCCAGATACTCCAGAAAGTATCCTTCAGGGCACTCAGCACTGGCATTCTCCAATCAGTACTTGACTACTGTTCCACACATCTCTAAAGAGTTCCTCAACAGTGCATACCTGAAGTCAGTTTCCAGGAGATCAGCCATGCCATGTCAAAAGTCATCCACCATTATGTTGGGTATTGCTATTGAAATATTGATGCTATCAAGGCCATGGCTGCCTGATAGGTATATGGGTATTGGAAGAACACATGCATGAATGAGATAACTGACCAAAGCAGTTATGTGCAAAGTATCTCCACTGCTGAGACAGACTCTGGAGCACTGGATCCCAATGTCTGGAGCATGCTACTACCTTCCCATCACCTCCTCTCAAATCCCCAATGGCAACTTCCATTTGGAATGCTGCCATTGCTACTTAGCTGTGACACTTAGGTCATTTCTCATTATTGAATTTTTATAGTCTTATGGATCCCATGATGTAGTATCACAGAGAACCTCTTTTATTGACCACAATATTCACAGGGCTGAGTTTAATGATTCCCAAATTCCTACAGGATAAAATCTACTTTTTTTAGCCTCACATGTGAGGTACTTACCTCTCCGGCCTCATCACCTACTATACCTCTATTTTTATGTTTCAATCTTCTGACCTCCTTAGACTTTCCTAAATAGCTCAAACTTTTTCATACCTCTGGGTCTTTGTGTGCACTGCTTTGCATATATTGGAATTCCATCTGTGTCTTCATCACCTAGAAAACAATTGCTGATCCTTAAAGTCTGTGCTCAAGTGCTCTTTGACACCTCCAGGAAAATCTGTGTATTTATTTACTCATTCACTTAGTATATGTCTATTATAGAGAGTATTTTATTGTATTTAGAACTGTTTGGTCAGATGTATTCAGTATTAGTCATGTCCATCAGGCCCCACTCAGTCATAGCTAAATGGTCATATTTACATTTGGGTGGCTGATGTAAAAATTGTCTATAGTATACATATACATGTGGGTGTGTTTTTATAAACCTTTAGTAATATCTTAATTTACACAAAAGCATAAATGGAAAGAGTAGGTGATTTGGCATCTTTCTCCTGCATCCACAAATTCTTTACCTTTTATTCAACAGCAAATCCAGCTTTTCCTCTATGTCTTTCCATTCCCACAAAAATTCCAGATTGATATGCAAGCTGGCTCACATGGAGATTGCCTTAACCTCTTTCTTTCTACATTCTGTCTCTAGCCATTTCCTTCAGTGTTAATGGCCCAGTTCAAGCCATCTGTCTTGTCTACATCATTATCATTCCCAAAATAACTCTACATTCTTTTCCATCTCCCACAGTGCCCAGGAGTCCAGTAAATAAATTCTTGTCAATTGATCAAATTCCAGTTACTTGCCCTCTAACTGATGATACCTATCCACATGGCCCCCTTTGTATTTGCTCATCTCCCATCTGTTCCCTTCAGTCAAAATAGGTTGACTTTGTCTCTTTTGACTTCCTTCTCATACTGCTCCAGCTGTCCCTTCCTTCCAGGCCATCCTTTAGCACATTTCTATTCTTCCAGATTTCATCTATTACTGTATTTTCTTTCCCTCCTTTATATTTAAAATTTGAGTCTGATGAGACATACTGAGAAAGACAACTTTATATTATCTGTTCTTATAAACATGCATGTGCCCCTCCCAACTAACTGTGCTTTTAAACTTGTACCCTTACTGAAAGAGACAGCATTTGAGAGTCAGTGTAGCTTTGGCTCTGGAATTTGGCAGACTCAGGCTTGAATAATGACATTGTTATCCATAATTTATGTGACTTGGGGTACTTTACTTAAATTCTCTTGAGTTTGTGTAGTCATATATAGAAAGAGTTCTTAAATAGCTGTGACAATTAAGTAAATTAGCAAATGAAAGGTATATGTCCTGTTTGGTACATAGTAGCCACTCAATAAATAGCAGCAGTTATGAAGGTTCCTTCAAGTCTTCTTCCAAAACCAGAGACACCAAAGTACACTGTAATAATTGAAACTGTTTTCTTGTTTATTTTAAATATTGTTTTAAAATCTGATTTTGTGTATTTAATTTAGTTTTTATTTTGATAGAAAAATACAAGTTTAAATATTTTAATATGTATACTTACAGTAACATAGTAAAACAGAAATATAGCAAGTGGAACCTCATGCTATTAGATGGAAGAGAGGAATATAAAGATAAGTCTAAAAAACAATTGAAAAATTAAAAAGGAGCAAAGTAAAAAGAACATAGAAATATAAAATGTAGTAGTAGGACTAAGATTGAAATACCTGTGAATGAACATAATACATTTAAATGGTTTACTTTTCTTAATAAACTCTCTAATTGAGATTTTTAAAAAGCCATTTACAAGTGGTACATTGAAATAACATTTCACAGAAAAATTTAAAATAAAATAATAATATGATAGTGGGGATGGTAAAGTAAGGACCTCTGAAAATCCTCTCCTCCATGAAAGCAATGAGAATGCTAGCAATAATTTTCAGAATTAACTTTCTCAGAAACTTGGAAATTAACCAAATGTCTGTAGCATTAGAGAAGTACTTATTCAAGAAAAGTGGATGAATTTGGTGGGAAGAATGGCATTTTTAACTTGTTCAAACATTTCCATCTTCCCCAGCTCTGTGGTAGTCTTGAAGACAGTCTACATTCTTGGTAAAAAAGCAATGGCCTGGCAGCCACCAGATGGCGCAAAATGGTGATGGAGCCCCTTCAAAACCCTATTCTGAGAGAATTGTCATTATCTGACCCACGTGGTGGTCCCCTGGAAGACCCCACTCACAAGGCTTTTCTTTATTTCACCTGACTCAGAGCTCACCAAGTACAAATAACTTTTTCTTCTGGGGGGCATCTATAAAAAACAAACGTTAGCAATGTTTTAACATCACAGCTGCCTGAAGTGGAGGATAAGAGCAGAGACAGATTAACCAAAAATCTTAAAAGGAAAAGCTGGGAAATAAGATGTCCATGGAGTACTTTGAAAAGCTCTGTCACATTGCTGGAGATCTAGAAAAGCACATTCATGCACAGAGCTTGGATCATTCTCATAAAGAACTAGTAAAGTCCCTATGCTCTCATCTCTTTCTGATATTGAGGCTCTGTGTGAGCAGGAGGAAGTGAAGGCTAAGGCAGAGCTGTCAACCATTTGGTGAATATTAAAGTCATGCCTCAACATGCACACAGTGCCACTCTGCCAAAACTGGGAAACTTACTGGTTTGAGGCATTTAAAGAAATTTTTATTCAATGATTAGCTGACTACTAAGCTAACCAAGCAGAGACTTCTGTGGCCACCTATGACAAAAAATACAGATTTTATAGATTTAGTTATGTAAAATTCACTAAAAATTGAACCTTGAGGCAGGGATAATCTGATTTCTAGAGTTGCCATATTAAATTATTTAAGATGCTAAGTTTTTACAAAAATATGAGACATGTAAAAGAAACAAAAATATATGCCACACCCACAGGAAATAAAGCAGTCAATAGAATTGCCCCTGAAAAAGTCCAAATATTTGATTTATTAGACAAAGACTTTAAATTTGATATTCTAAATATATTCAATGAACTAAAGGAAACCATGTCTAAAGAAATAAAGGAAGAAAGGCTTAAATATGGTGGCATGAGAGGTGAGACAGAAACCTCTTCCCCAAACCACATATAATATGAAAATATAGCAAATACATCTAATCCTGAAAGAGCAACAGTAAAGAAGGCTGTGGCAGACTGCCTACACCTGGGGAAAATAGCAGACCTCAAGGAAAGGGTTAAGTGCCAAAGCTATGATCTGGAGGGATCCAAGCCCTTCCCATACCCCAGCTTACCAGAGGGAGGAAGAAAAAGGGAGCACAAACCTACATTACATGGTGCTCTAGAGATTAGAGGGGTTGGAAAGCTAAGACAGGTGGACTACTTGGAGAGACTGAGATTCCAGCCACTTGTGGAAAACACTTATCTACAACTGGCTGCTCTGAGACCAAAGAAAGGCAGGCACCCTGAGAGACTTCCTAACAGCAAGAGGGCTGCTAAAGGGGCAGTGATTGCACAGAGCTTGCTGCTTAGGAGAAAGGACAGATGGACAAAATTTTCTGGATGCACTCTGCCCAGCAGGTTGGGAACTCTCAGGAACTTTCCATCTGGCTCATAATGCAGCTATGAGGCCCTCCACCATGATACGCAACCTGCTGCGCCTTCCTCCCAGCCAACACCAGCTTGCAAACTGGATGCCTCCACCATTGTGCCAGGCCATCCAGAGGGCAGGCCCACCTATGACAGCTATAAGTGCAAAGCATAGAGGCTCCTCCCTTCATGCTTAGCCCACTGGCAGTAGAGGCAGGCACTGCAACTGGAAGCAGGAAAGACCTCTTTACTCCCAACAGACACCAGCAATGCTCACCTGTAACCACAGCTCCAGGGGCTGAGCAACTCTAGAGATTACAGCTTCTGGGCACTAGAGGGCGCCACCTACAGATATCAAACGTCAAAGGA